CGCCCAAAGCTCTCTTGATGAAGGTCCTCCATATCCCCTTGCTTCCATCGACCTTGAAGCTAAAATCATACACCTTCAAGTGAGATTCGTCTTTTGTAGCATTTGTTCATCGTTTAAAAAAAAAAAATTCCTTTTTCAAGGAATTTCACTCGAGTTACAAAGCGTTTTGCGACACTAGAATCGCCGAGATCAAGAAAGAAGGGGAAAACTTGGCCAAGATGAGTGATCCTGCTGATAATGTTGAACTCGATTCCATTCTGAAAAGTGAGTCACTTCCGTTTTATAAATTCAAAATGTTCGAGAAAAATGCCAAAAAAAAAACTTTTATTCAAAGTTTGAGGTATGTGGGTGCCTCAAGAATGTTTCTGCATTTTGGACGCCCGATCATTCTCCTTTTTGTTTTGAAATTAGAAAAAATTCAAATTCAATTACTGTGACGATGCAACGAGCTGACTAAACACTTATTTTCGACGAGAAAAAAAAAGTTTCAAGCGATTTTTGCAGACCTTAAGCTATTTACGTAATTCCGAATTCGCAGGATCAGCCATACATCATCGCTCGACTTCTGAAATTGTTGCAAAGAATACTGTACTTCACAGTACTGTACATTATATGTAAAATGCATTGTTTCGAAATTGTTGTGACAGAACTGGAGAAGGAAGGAAAAACCCTGGAAAAGAACGTGAAGCAAAGTCTGGAAACACTCCAGCAAGTCTTGTTGCAGCGGAAAGAATTTGAACACAACGTTCAGCTCTGCCAAACTTGGTTGGATCAAGCTGGGGTTTCTTTGTCTGCTGAAATTCGTCGACCGAATGTTGAGATCCTGGATGACCAGCACCATCAAGTAATTTATAAAATTAAGGCAGCTCCTTGGCCCGGGAAATTTCTGATCCTAAAATGCGAAACTTTTTCTACAGTACCAAAAGCTGCTGGCGGAGTGTGCTTCATTTGGCAACCGCTTGGTGAATTTGAAATCTGCAGAGGACGAAATGTGTTCCGGCAATCAACTCTCGAAAGGGGAAGAAGCTTTGCTGAAGCAAAACATCAGCAGTTTGTGCCAAAAGCACCAGAGGATCGCTGTGCAAGTCAAAGACAGAATAAACGCCGTGGAGAGTGCCATTGAGCAGCAGCGTAGGGTAAAAGACCGCGTTCAAGCGAGTTTGGAACACTTGGAGCAGATTTACCAGCAAGTTCATGCATTGAATAAACCTATTGGATGGACTCCTGATGATGCTCAGGAGTTGTTGAAGGCGTATCAGGTAAGCTGTTGAATTTTCACTTGAGCAAAAAAGACTACTTTTTTGTTTCGTGAGATGGCTTTTAGTTTCTTTTCTATTCCGTTGCATGAGAATTCAAACGTGAAATTCGCCAACTTTTTCAGGACGCTTTGGGAAAGATCCATAATTTTAGAACAGAAGTGGAAAATATTCAGACGGAGACGACATCTAGCGGCGGGGCCTCTGCGCTGAGTGCTCTGCAAGAACTGCTGAAACGGCAGGATGATCTCATTCAGCTCGTAGAGCAGCAGATGGCCCGAATTCGCCAGCTCGTGATTGTTCGCCAGCAGTTCATGGCCCTGATTGCTGACATCGCAGCCTTCATCACCAAGCATTCCGACGTTGTGCGAGATATTGAGAGCAGTGGTCGATCCATTGACGAGAAAATTTCTCGCTATGACCAGGTTTGTCGCACCTTTTCTTGTGGCCTGAAGGAATACGTGCTGTGCAGCCGTATTCCATGTATGAGGGTTGTCCCAGTTGGACGCAAAATGTGATATTTTTGGAGTACGTGTGATTGGAAAAAAGTTGTGACATGGCCCAGGATGTTCCAGGGTACTGGGATTTTTTTTTGAATTTAAAGAAAAGGTTCTTCAATTTACTTTACTATTAGAAAACCGATTTTTTATGATTTTATATAATTTAGAAAAGATAATGGGTAGAACAAACAACAGATTCAATTTTTCGTCATAATCGATTTTTTAAAATCTTGACAAATACTGTACAGTAATTCAGAAAACATAATAGTCAAAACAAAGAACAATTCAATTTTCAGGTGGCCTAACGGATTTTCAGAACTCCGTGAAATCGGTGGAAAACTCTGGCTGTAACTACGAAGTTTTCACT